CCGACCGCTCGTGGGTTTGTGGAGGGATTTTGCCGACATCCCTACTACGCAGACATCCGCCTGTCAAACTCAGGAACCGCGCGCTCAATGTCCTTGACTGACGCGACGACCCCTAAATCTGGCGCTGCGTCTGGGTCAGGGAATGTCGGTGCATAAAAATAATAGTGGCATATATAATAAAATATTTTAGAACTTTTGATCGCCAAAATTATGACGACGAGGGAAAAGTGGCCGCTAGTACCGTCCCGAAGCCTCTGACGGCAAAACCAAGGGGGATAGCCCCGGTGGGCCCTCAACCCCTCGATGCCTTTGCACTTCTCTGATATCCCCGCGTCGGTGCCGGTCGATCTCGATCCTCAAATCTCTTTGATGAAAGTCTGATGCTATAACCAATAGGACTTAGCCCAAGTCTGGGTCTAGTTTTTATGAACCTCTAAATAAACAGGTAATGTGCGACGTGCAGATGTACCGAATGTCTTCAAAATCACGGTGTTATCGACATCGCCCTCCACACGTACGCACGAGTCACAGCCAAGCGCACCAGTCCAGAGACAAAAATCTTTTCAAACCTAGCTTAATCAGAAGGAAAAAAATCTGGTTGGCGATCATGCCGACTCTTCAATCATCAACATATAAAAAGATCACGCGCGCCTCAGATCTGCGCGCCCACACACCCTCTGTTTTAGTCAACCATCCAGTCAATCTAAGCTACAGACGCAGCCGCGCCTCGCGCGGTGTACTTAAACTTTAAACTAAACCTATTCTCTGTTGCTTGCAAAAACCAGGGCGGATACCCTTGTAAGGGTATTCGCACCGACACCGGGTTCGCCCACGTGCCAGTCCTTCGTGGCCACGCGTCAACCTCACACACTCAGCATCAGCTCGTCAGATTGCCCAACTCTCTACTTACCGTCCTGTCTCTGCTCATTGGCCGATCCTCCCGACCACACTAACTTCAACGTGTAGATTAGAGAGCGAATTAGTAGCACTTGCATATTTTATAGCATTCAGTATTTGCGCGAGACAATTCCGGATTACGCTGAAGCAAAAGGAAGAGGGAAGAAAGAGGTGCCTATGGCTGCATGACTGGGCCGTGGCATGGGGGACGTAGCCACTCTCCACGCATCGATCACGTCATGCATTGTTTCGGCCAATGAGATGGACAGAAAAGAGGTGCATGTTCTAGCGCGGAAAGAAATCAAGAAGGAGAAGATTATAGTTACACCCGCACTCGACGAGAAGGAGCAAGAAGAGATTACAGTTGTGAAGCGGCGGGAACAAAGATCAAGGACAGGGCGCAGCAAAGCGCACACGAGGAAGGAGCATTGTGCAGTTACAGCAGCAAAAACCCGCGACAAAATTATGATACCCCCCAATTCCAAGTCGAATTAAAGTCCTAATTCCTATTACTCCCGTATTTCAAAATTAAAAAAAACTTTCCCGTGCCATGATCGCGCCAAAGTTCCCTTCTCCATTCTCAGCAGAACAAGAAAGAAGCTACAACAACAGTTATTTCCATGCTCTCTAACTGTCAACCGCCATGGGACCAAGTTTTGTCAAAAAGATGGGGGTACCGTGGTACGTGTGTAATTGAGTCGGACCCTCCCATTCAGCCCCCGAAATACAGTCGCGCAGAAAGTCGTCCTTTACAGAAAACAGTCCGTCACAGTTCACCGCTTGTTGTATCTCCAGTGTTTTTTTTTTTTCTTTTTTTTCTTTTTTTGTATCTCCAGTGTTTTCTCTGGGGTTCCTCAGTGTGTACAGCCAGTGTATCTCCAAGCAGGTCAACAATTTCAATTTACCTGTCAGGGGACTAGTTTGTCATAGTGCCCTTTCAGGCAGCCCAATTTCAATTCAGCCTGTTGGACAATTTGCAAGGCCTGTGCTGTATTGGGTGGGTTGGCCAGTTCCTAGGATGGAAGGTTTAGTGGGCCTGATTGAGCCTGGAGTGTTAGCCATTCAAGCTGCAGTGCTGCCCCCCTGAAGACCAGGGGGCAGAGAATGTGGGAAGTCTCCTGCTGTGAGAGAGTTGGGTGGGATGGTGGTGGTCCTTCCTCCTAGTCCCGGCTGTTGGGGAGGTGCCTGTTCGGCAGGTTGACCAACCGACTTGTAAGAGAAATTTAATCTCCCGGAAGGACTGTACTTGAACAGGATCTGTTCTGTAAATAAATAAATAAATAAATAAATAAATGAACAAATAAATAAATAAAAATCTCCCCGTGACCCAGACGTGAAATTCGCTAAGGATGAAACCAAGCGATTGACCATTCCTGCAGCTGATTCATTGCTTTGTCCCTGTGTTGGGACTTCATGTGATTGTACCTGTTGGAGATGTTGTGAGTGATGGATTGACTGCTGAATTGGCATCTGCAAACATTTTGAATGCATCTGGACCCCACTGCTGTCCAGATGCATTCAAAAATCTTGGCGGATGGCGAGAGTTTTGCACCTAGCCCTACGGTGGACGGGTTTGAATTGGAAATGTACAGTCAGCACGTCGTGCGTGTGAATCGTGACCGCGACTGGTGGAGACAAAGAGTATGAAATAAGTCGCATGCGTTCTATTCGAGGGTGCTGGAGCAGAGGCGACCGTAAGATGCCGGCTGGTCAGCGAACGAAACGCAGAACGAGAAGGGAAAAAAAGGAATGGAAAAAAAAAAACGAAAGAAGAAGGTGAGTGTCGTGGTGTCCCAATCGTCACTGGGAGGAAGGTTGCCGCG